GCCACTCGGTTGCAACCCGTTCCGGCGCGGTCGGGACCCGTCCCGACGCGGTCGCCAGTACTCACGCGGTCTCCAACTCTGTGGTCCACTCTGTGGTCGGCAGCCGGCCTGTGCTCCGCTGTTCTGTGGTCGCCGGTCGTCCTGTGCTCCGCCGTCCTGTGGTCGCCGGTCGTCCTGTGCTCCGCCGTCCTGTGGTCTCCAGTCGTCCTGTGGTCGCCGGTTATCCTGTGGTCTCCAGTCGTCCTGTGGTCGCCGGTTATCCTGTGGTCCGCTATCCTGTGGTCGGCGGCTCGGTCAGTGCCGGGCGTGCCATCGCCGGGCGTCGAACCGTGGTTTCGGCGGTGGCGGTGGTGCACGCGGCGGTTGACGACGGGTGGGTCGTTTGAGGCTTTGCGGCGACGCAGGTCGACCTTTAGTTCTGAGGCGATCTTGTGTTCTTGTTCGGCGGATATAGCGGCCGGGCCGTTGGTAGGATTCGGGCCGGGGACATTGATATTCGAAGTTGGCATTATTTCGTTCGGGAAAATGTCCGGTAGGGTGTTTGACCGGATGTCGGGATGTTGGCAGAAAGCCGTGACGTTAGACAACGAGAAGGAACATGAAAAGGCACTAAGTTACTATCGGCGGGCTGCGGACTATATCCAGCAATTGCGAATCTCGCAAAAGAGCATCCGAATTCTCGAAATGCTTGATCAACGAGCGGACCTTGTGCACGAACGCATCCGTGTGCTGACTCAAGTGGTCAGTAGAAAGCGACAGGTTGGTGGGTCGCCCGGCCCCGTCTTGTCCACTCAGCCGACAACACCAATTGCGCCTGACAGTTTCGGCGCCGCACTGGGAGGGTCCCACAGGAACGGGTGGAGGGGGAATGTGAACGGACTTGGTGGTACGGGAACTGGTGGGGGTTGTTCGCCGTCAGGTGGAAGCGGAGGCACCGATACACGTATTGATGCGCGAAAGCAGAATCTGTCGGCACTCTTCGACAAGTCAAAAACGGACGTCCGTCTGGATGATGTCGTCGGACTCGATGAGGCTAAACAAGCCATCCGCGAAAGCATTGAATTCCCCCTACGCTTTTCCAAACTTCGGCAACACTGGACTTGTGTCCTCCTTTACGGACCGCCCGGTACCGGCAAGACACTACTCGCACAGGCCGTAGCAAATGAATTTCAAGCCAAGTTCCTCGCTGTCTCCTCTGCTGACCTCATGTCGCAGTGGCAAGGCGAAAGCGAGAAGTACGTCAAGGCTCTCTTCGAACTTGCACAGGATAACGCACCCTGCATCATCTTCATCGATGAAATCGACAGCGTCTGCAGCAGTAACCTCCCCCACCTTCCCGCTCTTTTCGGAGACATATACTCTTGTTTCTAGCGCGAGCGGATCGAGAACCCGACAGCATTCGACGAGTGAAGACTCAGTTCCTAATTCAGATGAACCAGCTCGAGAAGAGCGACAAACTCGTACTTGTATTAGGTGCTACGGTAAGTACCAGCGTTCGGGTGACAACACGTGTGTGTGACAACACGTGTGTGTGTGACAACACGTGTGTGTGTGGCAATTTGTTTGTAGAACATTCCTTGGGACTTGGACAGTGCGTGTCTGCGGCGGTTTCAGAAACGTGTGTACGTGGGATTGCCGGACTTGGATGCAAGGCGTGATCTGTTTATGGCTGGGTTGAAGCAGGAGCGACATTTGTTGGGCAGTGGCGATTTTGAGGAACTGGCTCGTCGTTCGGAGGGATTGAGCGCCTCGGATATCGCGATTGTATGCAGTGATGCAACGACGGAGCCCTACCGGACGGCGTTCAACGCTAGACACTTCAAGAGTATACTCGGCAGCGATGGACGTCAGAAATTCTACCCACTCGCGGATCCCGCTATCCGCTGCCGTTGGCCCGACTGCGACTGCAAAGACGGCACCCGTCTTGAAGAAACCGCCATCCCACTTGCCTTCAACCACCTCGACGAAAAAGATATGGAACTACCTCCTGTCCAATGGGCAGACGTGTTCAAGGCACTCAGCAAAGTCAAAAGAGCTGTCTCTGACGATGACATCGCCAAATTCGAAAACTGGGAAAGAACTACTCTCTTTCTCAGCTAAAGAAACTCAGCTCAAGAAACTCATCAGGAGACGGTCGCTGGCTGGGTAGGAGACGGTGTCTGATCAACCAACCAGACAGGCATCTGGACAGGGGTGTCTGATCAACCAGACATCTGAATAGTTAGTCAGTTAGTTAGTCCGCAGTCATAGTTGTCAACCACCCTTCAATCAATCACCCTTCAATCAATTACCCTTCAATCAACAGGTCGATTGTTGCTTAGCCCTTAGTCCTGTCAACGCCTATTACGCTGACGGGGAGCAAAGATGGTGGTCATATTTTTGTGTAGTATTTTCGTGTGTTAGATAATGCTTGGTTACAACACGTGGCTCTTGATGTCTGTTGTTGTATCCGGTTCAAGCACGTGTCGAAGTGGTCACATGGCGCTGAAGTTTGGAAGCAAGATTTTCGGGTCGTCTCGAGTAATGGATCAATGGTGTCAAACTTTATGTCTACGTCGCTGCGCTACAGGAGACCTTTTAGACTGTGTAGAACGACTCGGTCTAGAGGGTTGCAGCTACATGTCATCGACCTATTCAAATGGTGAATACGCTAACACTATCGGCCAGAATCAATACTTCTAAAGACGGGGGGGGGTACTCCCCAAACGGGGGGGGATCAACGAAGTGAAGGGAACAACTCCCAAGGGGGGCAAGTCCACGTGTTGAAGAAGTGCTTCTAATTAGTGAATCCCTCTACTCTAGTCAATACCTCTACTCAATACATTTACAGCACCCTAGATGCTGAATGACTCTGTACTGAATGACTCTGTACGGAAACTACGAAACAAGATTAGCGACGGGAATCAGACGGTTTAACCACTGCCGAGCAACCGCTGTGGGGGCTCGGTTGTTTTGTACAGTGCTGCTGGTGATAGCGGCCCTCTCTTGCCCACCGCAGAGCAGAGAGGCGTTTTTAGTGTAGCTGAAACACATCATCTGCCATGCTTGGGAACGAATATAGGATTCGAGGGCAACATGGGACGGGGCGGGGACCCAAGGGACGGGGCGGGGACCCAAGGGGCGGGGCGGGGAAGGGTGTGCATGGGGTTTCGGGTTGGGGGTTTCGGGAATAAGCACACGCGTGTGGTAAAAATCTGGCCGGGGGAGGGTTATGGACCTGTTTGATGAGACGCCAGCGAGTAGTGATGTACAGAGTGAGGATTCCTCCAGTAGCAGTGAGCAGCGTCGTGTAATGGTGAAGAGGCGGCGCGTAGCTAAGCCGCCGTCGAGGGCGGTAGTGAGGAGGCCGCGTTCGTCCACGACGCAGGAACTCTGGGACCGAGTCGTGGCCCGGCTGGACGTGTGGCATAAGGCGAACCGCGAGTACACCGGGCGCATGGACGAATATTTACGCGACGACTTCGAACTGGATAGCGGCCGAGTTCTGCTCAAGATGGAATACGACCTGCGCAAGATTAGTCCCAATGACATGCTCACTTCGCTCTTCAGAGATATCTTTAAAACAGGCAAGCCCAAAGGTCTCGTAGACATCAGCGACATGCTCACCATGATTGCTGAAGCAGGCGACGATAACTTCTCACCCAAATTGTGAGCAACAGCGAAGGGGAGGGACCAGGTGAACGGCACGTCACACTTCCCTACTTGTAGCGTCATCACCGTATATCAGTGGACACATCTACTCAATGACCCGGTCATCTTCTCCTTTGTCGAAGACATGATTCAGTCGCCCTGTAGCCCATTCATCTTTGTGCTCAAAAGCGATATGGTACAGCAGATCATCTTCCATCACTAGTAAGGGGTGCCACTCTCGGTTACGACGGGGGGGGGGGCAGGACCCCGAGTGGGTTGCAGGACCCCCGAGTGGGTTGCAGGGCACTCGAGTGGGTTGCAGGGCACTCGAGTGGGTTGCAGGCCACTTGGTTGTATCGCTACGTATCTTTAGTCGTATTCGCACGGATGAGGCGAAGACCGACGACTGGGAGACGATAATTCTGTTCCCTCGGACGTTGTGCAAACGTGTCATGGACTACATCGACAGGTTATGGTTCGGTCCCTTGCTGCAGAAGATAATTCTGGCGGAGCGCGCGCTCCTACAGGACCCGGTACTTACCTCAGACGACAGCCCGGTTATAACCAAGGCCAAGCACCGTAACCCCGACCATCCCGCAGCCCTGACTTGCCCCCCACCCCCGCCCATTCCGAAACCCTCACTTGCCCCCCTCCCCCCCAGCCTTGGCCTAGGTAATGGGTGACTGTGCAGGAGATCCGATAGACGACTTACTGCCTCGAACGCCGAGCGGTTTTCTGTTTAGCCAGGATCTGCACCAGATCCGGGGTCTACCGAAGACGTCGCAGTTGCGGACAGTCTCGGCTCCGATACAGGCATTAGTCGAGATCAAGAACTGTGCCTACGGCTCGTCGACCTCGCAATGAACCATCCCCCTGTCCCGTCGCCCACGCCGTGTCCCCACGCCGTGTCCCCACGCCGTGTCCCGCCCCGGCGACTTTTCTTTGGTGAGTCCCAAGTCGGAGATGCGACTGTCATTAATCGGGTGTTGGGTGGTTAGTCGATGGTTGGTGTTGGGGTTGTCTGTTGAGGATTTGGAGCGGAGTGTAGGTGCATTGTCATTTCCGTCGGTGGCGGGGGTTGGGGGAATGTCATGGAATACAACGCGCGGTTCGCCTTCACACGTTTGTCGTGGACTGGAGGCGTTTCCCATGTATGTGGTGAACATGGACAGCAAGCCGGTACGTTGGGAATATATGGAACGTGTGTTTGGTGACGGCATCGAACGAGTTCAAGGCGTTCTGGGTCTGGATGGCCGCACACTTTGGGATCGTCTCGAAATCCCCCTAGAACCCGCTTGGGCTGTGAGCCCGCCTAATTCCAGCGACTCTGACCATGACGGTTCTGGTCACGATCACGGCTTTGGCCGCGATCAAGACGATTCCAATTCTGGCTCCAACTTTGGCTCCAACTCCGGTTCCGGCTCCAACTCCGGTTCCAGGAGTGATGATCAGTCATACGGCGAGTACGAAGAGGCAGGGTATCAGGTACAGCGGCTGCAGCGATCGGAGGAAGAGGAGCGACGTGTGCGGCGGTCGTTTGTGCAAGCTCCCGTCAAGTCGGCGCTGCGGTATTTTGGGGCGATGCCGGGCGAGTTGGGCTGTACCATCAGCCATCTGGACGCGATGAAGCGTGCCTGGCTGGCTGGCCACGAGGCCGCTCTCATAGCCGAAGACGATCTGGGCGTCAGTCTCTGTCCGCTCTGGCCCGCGGATCTGCGCCAAGTCAAACGTCATGCAGACCGCACACACCCTGGCTGGCACTCACTCCGGCTCCAATTCAGCGCCGGCGCCGCCGCCTGGGACTGGCTACAGGCCCAGTGGTGGAAACAAACTTTCCAAAATCTCGGGTCCGACTATAACTCACGACGCAAACAAATCGTCTCCTCTTGGGGACACTGGTCCGCAGACCTTGGCATACCTCTCACCACGCCCTTCAAACATGGTGTAGGCGCTGGCCTCACTCTTTGGAGCAGAGCAGGACTCAGATTCATGCTCCAGAAACACGCCGTACCCTACCATCAACACCGACATATGGTAGCCACCGCCCCGAAGCCTGAACCGAAGCCTGAACCGAAGGCAGATGCTAACATTAAGACGAAGGCTGAGGTCAAGGCCGCCATCAAGTTCCCGCAGCCCGCCGTTAAACCGCAGCCCGTTGCCGCCAAACCGGAGGCAGCGCCTTTAGTCGTGGCCAAGTCCGCGGAAGAGAACGCTCGGGCGGCGTCGGGTGCTGCACGGAATCGAACGCTCGACCCAAACGCGGCGGCGCGCAGCTGGAAGGCCCCAGCCCCGCCATCGCCGCCGGCCTCGCCGCTGGACCTGCCGCTGACTTTGGGCGGGGGTCCGGTCTTTCCTCCGAACTGGCGCGTGGAGGCCCCAGCATTGCTAAACCCGTTCGTGGCGATGCCCTTCATGAACGCGACGGAGCTGGGCGGTCTCGTCTTTGCCCCACGCCGAGCCGGCCGCCGGTTCCTCTCCGGCTATGACTCGGAAATGGAACAGAATGCGGAACCAAACCAGAAGAATGAAGTGGAGCAAAAGGGAGAGTCGGGGCAGAGATTGGAGTCGAACCAGGGGTCGCAGGGATTGGAGTCGGTAGTGTCTGACGCGGAGTTGCGTGGATGGCTGAGTCCGGCGCACGTTCCTCAGAAGTGGCGGTGCACGCCGGGGTTCCGGTGCGTGACGGACTTGATGTTTTTCCGCGAGGCTGAGGGCGAGGGTCGCAGTCTGTTGGCGACGCCCGTGTTATTCACGACGCGGCTGGCGGAGGATGGGTCGCCCATCCGTTCGGTCCTGGACCAGACAGACAACGAAGAGTATGCCCGGCGTGCGCGAGTACTACGTCGCAATGCGGCCGCTGCAGCCGCAGCTGTCGAACAAGAACTCGGCACACCTCCACCGCACCAACAGAGACATTTACAGAGCACACTCAGCGCCACCAAGTGGCTCATCGATGCCATGGAACAGTTCAACTGGGCCGCCCGAGGACATCTGTACCCGAACCACCGCTTTGCCCTCCGAGTTAAACCCACGCACAAACGCAAAACTTAAGCCAAGAACGAGGCGCTGGATAGAGGAGAAATGTGTTCGATCATTACAGGATTGCGCTGAATAGAGAAACAACAACATTAAAGGAGAGTGGAGAAGTGTGAGCAGGACTGTGAACGTTGGAGAAATGTTCACCCTAAAAGAAGGAATGTTGGCTTTAGCAGAAGGAATGTTCCCCTTTGCTGAAGGAATTTTCACGAAGGATGCACCCTTTACCTTCCCCCGTAGTTAGCAATGTTCCCCTCCCCCAGCAATCAGCCCCCAGGTCTGCTGTGGTAGCCATGCGCAGGCCGTGGTACGACGTTCCTACCACCCCGCAGCTTTTTGATCGCTAGAATCCGTGATGCTGAACTTCGTGGGAGAAACAGCAATCACGACCAAGGGATGGGCAAGAAGGTAACTCTCAGAAGCACGACGCGCGCACGGTGATGATTCTGTGCGCACACGGCAAGGATCGTGTGCGCACACGGCAAGGATCGTGTGCGCACACGGCAAGGATCGTGTGCGCACACGGTAAGGATTGTGTGCGCACACGGTAAGAATTGTGTGCGCGGATGTTCTGGCCTGGATGAGCCGTGTTGGATCGGCGACGGGGCTCAGAAAGTTGGTTCCCCCCGTTGGCCTACTACTCATCTTTGCGCCCCTCTCGGACACCTGATTCACACGCACACTTGGTACTCCGCCAGACACATTTGCATGTCCAGGATGAGTTCGAAATGTTACTCCACCCATCCACTCCAACGTCTGTCCGTGCCCCAGATCTACCTCCCGAAGCACCAGGTAGCACTACCTTGAGGACGGCGGTATTGTCTGTTCAAGTGTAGGTAGAACGGACGGCTCGACCGGTTCGGTGTATTGGGCTTGTCTCTGTAGACAGTTTAAGTCTTGTGCGATGGAGCAGCCTTTCTGTGAGTGTGTGTGGAGAAGAGAGTGTCCCTGGACGGGCTGCCCGGCTCCGCGACGACCAGGACGGGTGGAGACGAAAGGAGTTCATTTTCCCGTTGTCCCAAATGCGCAGTTGTGTGCGGCTATCGATGACGTTTTCTGCAGGAGCGCTGCAATGAAGCGCTCATTCATTTTGTGTGCAGTTATCGCGAGTGCCACTGGAGGAGTGCTGGATGTCCTGCCCAACTTGCTCACGTCTCTGCTGAATGCCGACCACAAAAAACTCCGTCATCAACACCTGTTGCCGGCGGTCGAGGAGGCCGCCGCTGCCGTCGAGTCCCTGGTTCTTGACCGTCCCACAACCCTCGACCGTCCCACAGGCCTGGACCGTCCCTTGGTCGTGGAGGACCAGATCCGGCCGTTGCACCGATTGCCCGGCATCCTCTCGGACACCCTCAGCTCGCTGATCGGGCTCCGGCCAGGCGCCGGTGGAGAATTCGACTTCGGCCTGTCCCTCGGTGCCGGCCTCGGCGGTAGCGCCGGCGCAGTCGCTGTCGGCGGCGCCAACGGAGCCGTAGCTTTGAACTTACCCAGCGCCGGCGTGGTTCCCGGTGTCAGCGTGACTCCCAACGCCGGCGTTTCTGAAACTGTTCCCCCCGCTGAAGCCGTGGCTCCGGCCAACATGGTGAGCAGTCCGGTCACCGTCGACGGTCCAGTCCGCGGTCGCCGTGTGGGTGACGCCCGAATGGGTGGTGACCGCCGCGGGGAGGGCCGAATGAGTGACGGCCGGGTGGAGATACCGGAGATGAACTTTGAGTTGCCAAGTGTGGCCGGTGGGCCGGGCGTGCGTGTGAATATGCCGGGCATCACGGTCTCACCGGGTGCGGATCGCGACCCTTCTGATCGGTCTTTGGATCGACCTTCAGGTCGACCTTCAGGTCGGGCGAACATAGTGGTTGTGCGGCGGACGAACGAGGACATTTTCGACGACGATGGTGGAATCGACTTTGGCGGAGGTGACCTACCGGAGGTGGTGTTGCCCGAAATCGTCTTGCCCGACCTGCCGGAGGCCGCGTTGCCAGAGGCGGAGTTATTGCAAGGCGGTGTCCCGCGCAACTACCATCGTACGCAGCAAACGAATCGCGACCACGCCTCAAGACTCCAGGACGCTGCGCCCGAGGCCGTCTTCATGAGCCCTGCCGACTGGTTCAGGGTGCCCGCCTTCCCCTCCATGGCCTTCCGCTTCCCCAGTCAACTATTCCCAACGGACATGTTCAAAATCCCGCCCTTCCCTGAGTTCCCGGAAAATGCAACTGTGACCTCGACACTCGTTGAAGAGTCCTACGACCCACAAGGCAACCTCAACGTCGTAACCAAACAAGTGGAACCCAAACGCGTTGCCACCTCCCAGAGCACCCGAGCGCCCACGAGCTCCTCGACCAGCGCCCAAAGGGCCTCAACCAGCGCCCAAAGCACTTCTGCCCAAAGCACTTCTGCCCAAAGCACTTCTGCCCAAAGCACTTCTCCCAACAGCACTCGCACCAATGTGGCTCAGAACACCAGTGTAGCCACGAGCACGCCGAGGCCGAGTACTGCGACAGTCCAAAGAGCAGCGTCTAGACCGCTGCGGGGCACGCTGCCACCGATGGAGAGAATGACCTCCGCCGCGTCCACGAGCACGTACGTGACGGAAACCGCAATGTCGGAGACCGCCATGACCTTTACGGAGACCGCCACGACTTACACAGACACCGCCGAGACAAACTCCTCCAGTCTGGCTGCTGCCGACCTGTTGGATACCCGCGGCCCGACCACCCGGCCTTTCTCCACGGTCACCACCGACGTCACCGTCTTTCCACTGCCGCCCGTGCCCGAACCTCCCCGCCAGCCGTACCTAGATCAAATGGCCAACCTGCCGCCGCCGCCACCCCCGCCACGGCCGCCCTACTTCTACTCTGCCTTCATGCCCTCCTGGGAGATGCCCCAGTTCCACCTCGACCGGCCCGCCTACTACGGTTATTCTCCACCCGGACCCGCCCCCGGGATCTCATCCCCCGCTTTCCCCACCGCCTGGCCCATCGCCAGTCCCACCGCCTGGCCCATCGCTAGCCCCTCGGCCGCACCCGTCGCCGTGCCTACTCCAGGCCCCGTGCCCACGCTCGGCCCCGTGCCCACCCCCGGCCCCGTGCAGCACTACTGGTCGATGCCTACTCAGCCACCCCACCCATGGTCGATGCCTACTCAACCACCCCAGTGGTCCACCTCTACGCAGCTGTCCAGTCCAACTGCTTCCGCCGGCCACACCACCGCTAGCGAGTCTACCGCTTCCAGCGGTTACACAACTGCCGCTAGCGAGTCAACCGGTGCTGCAAGCCAGGCCCACTTGAGCCAACAAGAATTCTTGCCGTATGTGCAATCGCCCTTCCTGGAGCCTTCCCTCCCGGCCGAACCCATCGACTCGATCCCCATCGACTTCCCATGGGCGCTGCCCGAAGCGCCGACCGGGCGTCCTTTCCCGACGGGTCGCCCCCGTACGCTGCCTGCCGACCGCGCGGCGGCTGTGAGTCGCTCTCGTGCACGTGGGCACGAATCCGCAGTTGGTGCGCCGCAGTTGGGAGCTCCGCAGTTGGGACTGCCGCAGCTGGGGGTGCCACAGGTGGGAGCATCGCAGTACGGACCGCCACCCTTCGTCTATCAGGCGCCTGCGCCCGCTCCGCCTACGGTGATTGTGTTGCCGCAGCCGGCGACCAGCTTCACCCCGCCGCCGCCTCCCCCGCCTCCGCCGCCGCCTACCCCCCTTTCGTCGATGATTCCGACCGGAGTGGTTCCGGGAGTGGTGCCAGGAGTGGTTCCGGGAGTGGTTTCGGGAGTGGGAGCGGTGCCGGGTGTGGTACCAAGTGTAGGCGCTGAGTGGGACTTCTCCAAATTGTTTCCGGGCGGTAACTCTGCTCTGCAGGAGTCTTTGACGAAGACATTGCGTCAGTGGTTCTTGGAGAACATGCGAGCGAAGCAGGCCACGGACGCGGAGGGTGTGGACTGGCAGATCGAGAAGCCGTTCGTGTCGCGAGCGGAGGACGAGACGATGGTGGACACCACAATGTTGCACCCCTCGGCGTCGTTCAGTCTGCGACAACCGCACGAAGACCCGTCTGTGTATCTGAGAGAGAGCAAGTTGAAGAACCCCCAAGTCCGCGACTTGGCGATCGAGGACGAGATCCGGGCCCTGATTCTGGCGAACCCGCAAGTGCTGGAGACACTGGGACTGAACCTACCACAACGTGACGGCCGTCGGGTCAACATCACCAAGTCCGTGCACGATCGCCCGACTGCGCTCCGTTTAGATCTGCCAAACGTACTGCCCAACGGCCCGCTGTACGAGACTATTATGGACCACCCGCTAAGCCATGCCCTGAGCCTTAAGGACGTCGAGGGCGACTTCCTCAACTACCTCCGCACCCAACGACCTTACGTGCGCGAAGAACTCACGCCCGACCGCAAGTACAGCTACACCGAAGCACCTGCTGCCGTCCACGTCGACCACCCCGGCCACTCCGAAACGTACATGCAGAGACCCTTCGTGGAACAGGTCTTGGACGAAGCAAACGGCGCCAGCAAGGTTTGGGTCGAAAACCCGATCGCACTCGACCGCAATTCCACCACCTTTAAGCATCAACCGCAACCTCTGAACCTTGACATAGAACTCTTCAAGTGGGGTCCCAGTAGCACCCAGGAACAACTCAAGGCGCTGTACCGCAGCAACAACAAGGCCGAGCCTCTGACCTACGTCGCCGAAGCCGGCCTGACTGACCTCGACGTCTCGGCGCTCTGGGAACTCCAAGACGATCTTGACGTTGAGGAAGAGGAGTATGACGCCTCTGACGACGCCGGCGCCGCCCTCGACGAAGACGATGAGGTGCTTGACTACGGCTTCATGTCATTCAACGGCTACGTGGAGTTCGACGACGAGGCCTACGTGGACGGCGACCTTCTGGAAGGCGGCGAAGCCTGGGAAGAGCCTGACGGTGGTTGGGCCGAGGAGGGAGCCGAGTTCCAGTTTGCTGACGACCCGGTCGGCGACGCGCTCGACGCCACCCCAGGCGAGTTCGGGGCGGAGCGCGGATTCGAACGCGGATTTGAGGATGTGGAGGATGCCCTGCCCGACTTCGACCTCGAGGATATTTATGCGGCCAACCTGGCGGCCTCTGCTGAACTGGCTCCTGAACGGGACATGCAGGCGGCAGTTGTGGAGCGGGAATACATCGAACATCGCGTGCTCGACACGGGCGAGACGCCAGCGAAGGTGTGCAAGGGCTTGGGCGAATTCCCGATCTTCTATATCAACTTACAGAAGCAGAGCAACCGAAGGCGGTACATGGAGGAGACCTTTGGTCCGTCGGCGGTGCGGGTCGGTGGTACGAATGGCACGAATCTGTTTGCTGTCTTGGACAAGTACCGCATAGGCGAGCCTGAGGCGTTCGTGAACGACCCGTGGGGGTACTTACGGCGCGAGCATCAGACGACTCCAGGCGAGCTGGGGGCCCTAATCGGGCACCTGGACGCAATCAAGAAGGCTTATCAAGGGCACCACGACACAGTGTTGATTATGGAGGACGACATGGGGGTGCAGCTTTGTCCCTACTGGCCGGCCTCGTTGGCGGTAGTCAAGTCGCAGGCCGACATCTACTACCCCGGCTGGCATAGCATCCAGCTGCAGTGGACGCCTGTGGGCCAGCAGGCCGACATCATCAAGAGCAAGTGGCACCGCTCTGTGAAGGAGCACCTGCTTGAGGGCCGCCAGCGCCACCTGGACATCGGCTACGGCGACTGGGACGAACAGTGCATGCCTCTCGTCGGCCACGTCTCCACCCTGCACGGAAACGGCGCCACCCTCTGGAGCAGACGCGGACTCAAACACGTCCTCCAGAAATACCAAGAGACCATTGTTTCCCGCACACGTGCTGGTGAAGCTATTCGCAAATGGAAAGCAGACCCTACCCTCCCCGCCACACCGGACCACATTCTCCGCCAGAATGAAGGAGCCCTCACCCTCTTTGCTGCCCCACCTATGTTTGCACAACGCTTCGCTGAAGACACCTCCGCCATTAAGAACGACCTCGAGTGGCGAAAGACCAACCTCTTCGGTAGCATCTTCGCACTCCAGTGGTACATGGAACTTCAGGAACTTTACAGACCTGGCTCGCGCGACCTTTTGCCCCTCAAACACTTCGAATTCGCCATCAATATCTGATCTGACCACAGGAAAATCTTGGACCGGATCCTTTACCCCAAGACCGGATCCTTTACCCCAAGACCGGATCCTTTACCCCGAGACCGGGTCCAAGACCGGGTCCAAGACCGGGTCCTGAGGTCAGGACGTGCCACTGACGCTGGCGCCATGACACTGGCCTCATTGACAGACACAAGTTTGAGACTGGGTTCACTCACGTTGGCATCAACAACATTGACGTAGGCTCCACGTCGATGGACTCTTTTTAAGTTGTGATAACACACACACACCATTTAGTAGTTTGGCCCGAACAATAGAACTCCCCGCTCGTGGATTCCTCCCCCCCCCCCCCCCCCCGGTGGTGAACCTCCGGCGCATAGTGAGTTTCGAGAGTGTCTGTGTCGGAATGGTCTATGTCTGGCCGTCGTGGGCAGTGCATGTGGAAGAAATGTGTAACCCCACAAGCGCAGGATGAGTGACGCTAAGGAAGCGAAAAAGTTGTCTCGGATCGGATCGGAGGTGAAGGCCTCAGACGCGTCGGGGCAGATTTTCAAGGGGCTGCAGGTGTGGTGTGATTGTGCCCCGGGCGTGAAACAGGACCCAAGTTTGATGTTTGCGAAGTGTTTGGTGTTGCCGGGGAGTACGGCGCAGACGTTTAAGTTGAAGCAGGTGGAGCCGGAGGATCCAGAGAACCGTGCGTTTGATGCGCCACAGTCTAGCGTGTACAATACAAACCAGAATATCGACCCATTGTCATTTCCGGACATCGGTATGATTCCGCACACAAATGTGGCGGCGGTGGTGGATTTCATTCGTACTCGTTTCCTGAAGAAGCAGATCTACACCACGGCCGACCCGTTGTTGCTGGCTATCAACCCCTTTAAAGATCTGGGCAATGCCACCGACGAGGTTATTAAAAAGTATCGCGACACGGGTGACGCGGCCAAGTTACCCCCTCATGTCTTCTCCGTTGCGCGAGAAGCTTTGGAGAACCTACACGGCATCAACAAGTCTCAAACCATCATTGTTTCTGGCGAGTCGGGTGCTGGCAAGACGGAAGCCACCAAGCAAATTATGCGTTACTTTGCAGCCGCCAAATCCGGTAAGATTGACCTCAAGGTGCAAAAGGCTGTGCTGGCCGGTAACCCCGTGTTGGAAGCGTTCGGGAACGCCAAGACGATCCGAAATAACAACAGTTCCCGTTTCGGTCGCTTCATGCAACTTGCGGTAGCCCCAGGTGGCGGTATCGAGTTCGGTAGCGTGCGAAATTTCTTGCTCGAGGTAAGTCGAGTGGTGACCCAAGACGACCAGGAGCGGTCATACCACATATTCTACCAGCTCCTGAAGGGGCTAACGGGTGACCAGAAGTCTAAGTTCAAGATTCTGGGACCGACTCAGTACAAGTTCGTGAACGCAAAGTGCCTGGACGTGCCCGGGTGGGACGATGTTCAGGACTGGAAGGAGGTGAATGAATCGCTGCATAGCATGGGCGCCACGGAGGAGGACATTAACGGTATCATCCGCTGTGTGTCGGCGATTATGATGCTGGGGAACGTGACGATCAAGGGTGAAAACAAAAACGGTGTGCCGGACGCAGCCACTATTGCGAACCCGGCCGAGTTCCAGACCGTGTGCGACCTACTCGGAATCAGCGCGCAGGACGCTACTATTGCCCTTGTAACCAAGATCACGCAAGCACAAGGTCAAGAGATCAAGGGTGTCTACAATGCGGCGGACACAGAGATTTTGAAGCTGTCAATGGCCAAAGCCGTTTACAACGAGTTGTTTAATTGGATCATTCGCAAATTGAACTCTAATATCGAGCCACCTTCGGGCTTCGATAAGTTCTTGGGTATGCTGGATATTTTCGGGTTCGAAGTATTCCAGAATAACTCGCTTGAGCAATTGTTCATTAACATCACCAACGAAATGTTGCAGAAGGATTTCGTTGATGTGGTGTTTGATAAGGAACAGAAATTGTATCGTTCTGAAGGTATTAATACGGCGGATCTAGTATGGACGACGAATGCCCCGATAATTGATTGTTTGACGAACAAGAAGTCTTCTGTGATTTCGTATTTAGAAGACACATGTCTCGCTCCTGGTGGTGATGATAAGAAGTTCTTGGCAGGTGCAGCGGGTGCCCTGAGTAGCAACAAACACTTTGCTAAAGCGAAGATCTCATCGGACATTAATTTCATCATTACACACACCATTGGTGATATTCAATACAATAGTACCGGCTTCATTGCGAAGAACAAAGATATGCTCAAAGCGGAACTTGTGGAGGTCATGCAGAAAAGTAGCTCACATGTCACGGCAGCATTGTTCAAAGATGTCACCATTACCAAGGGTAAGATCGGTAAGAGTCAACTGATTAGTTCGGTGTTCCTGGGACAACTGACGAAGCTCATGGAACTCATTCGCTCGACTGAGCCTCACTTCATTCGATGTCTGAAACCCAATGAGGAAAAACAGGCACTCAAATTCACTTCAGCCAAAGTCCTAATTCAGCTCCATGCACTTTCCATTCTGGAAGCACTACAACTCAGAAATCTCGGCTATAGCTATAGAAGACCTTTCGAAGATTTCATCAAGCAATTCAAGTTCCTTGATTTAGGTATCACCGAAAACAAATCACTCGATCCTAAGACAGCTGCCACCCAATTGCTAGAAGGATCCGGTCTCAAGCCTCAAGAATTCCAAATCGGACATACCATGATCTTCCTCAAACATGAAGCCACAAAGGCTCTCACTCAAAGACAAAGGGAACTCATGGCCGCATGGGAGCCACTTACCGCACTACTAGAGGCCATGTACAAGGCATACTCTACCAGACAACTCATCAAAACTCTCACACCCTCCATCGTCAGGGTCCAAGCCCACATCAGAGCAAATCTTGTACGAAAATAAACAACTGCCGACTCCACATCGATACGACTACCATACAGACGCTACAACTACCATACAGACAAACAGATGACCGTACAGACCAATCAATGTGCTTGATGACCGTGCTTACGTAAATGTACTGGGACTTACACAAATGTACTGGGACTTACACAAATGTACTGGGGCTAGTCCAAACAACCTACGTAGCGCAAACTATCCAGACGTAACTAGCTCAGTGGTCTAGACCTGAACTGACCGTTCAATACCTCAATACTTTGCCCACCAAGGGTAGCATTGTTCACTTATGTTGAGATCCCAGTTGTGAGATCCCAGTTGGTCCAATGTGCTATATGGCTTATACATGACCCGATTTTTGGCGGCGGCTCTAAGGAGCCGCAAGTCATGATAGCGAAAGTCATGGTGCTGAATAACTCGTTAGAAGAGGTCCTTCCTTCCGGTCAGCTCACCTTCCTCTCAGTCTCAGTGGTGGTGGTGGGAGTGGCGGGGAATTGCTAGGTCATGAGTCTATATTTCCTAGCCTTCTCACAGTAGTTGAATTTGTCACGTTCTATTTTTTTCCAAGTGGACTCTGGGATGCTAAGGTCGGCGAGATCAGCCGCTTCGCCCTTAAGGCTCGTGAGACAATTTGGACACTGGACGATGTTAATGGCGCACTCGATGCACACCGTGTGGTGGCACTTGGGCAATTGTACCGCGTGGTTGAGGAGGCCGTGGCAGACGCCACACACAATGTGCTTGGGAACGACCAAGCGCTTGCTCCGTACTCCCCCGCCGCACTTGCCGAAGGTCAGCCGCCAGCACCATTCGCCCCACCGCGAGGAGGACCGGGTCGTCGGCTGCTCCACATACGTCCTGCGTTGATGTTCCAGTCGTCGGTCTTGCCGCCGCGCACGAGTAAGTGCCGCCACCTGCTCGACCAGCTTCTCCGCCACGTCCTCTCCGGAATCCGTGTCCGAAATGTTACTTGCGGGAACAGCCTGTTCGGGTGAGCCAACCTCGGGCGAACCAGCGAAGTCCTCCACTCCGTCCACGTCTTCCTGTGAAAAGTCCGAGTCGCTGCCATCATCATTCGCCTGAGACAGACTAAACAAAAAGATCTTCCAGGGGCAGCGTAGCTTGCAGGGGAACGTAGACTGCGATTTAACGCGTTAACGGCGCCGTCTCAAATGTGTCCGCACACACTTTTAAAGCGACCCGCACACGGTGGCTGCCTGGCGCCACAGGGCGGCTGGCGCGTCACATATTCGGCCGTATCTGGTACCAGTACTGTGTGATCAAAGAAGTGCAGACAAAGCGGGGAGGAGCCCCCAAGAAGTGTCCTCTGGAGGGTCATTTACTTTCCGGCCGCCGGGCCTTCATTCTTCATTCAGCATTAATTTTAATGTTAGGATCAACGATCCAAAGGCTGGTCCCCAGAGTCAACGGTAAGTGTCTTCACTTTTGGGTGTCGTTCCCCCCCCTTCCCCTCC